CTTTAAATAATTATTCAAAAATGGTCCTGTCTGTAAAGACAACAGAGAGGTTTGGGAAAGCGTAAATATAAATGTTGAGACATATATATGGAATCCTCAAAACATGATATGAACTCCATCAAAGCAAAGGTCTTCGACATAATCTTCATTTTGGACATGGAACATTATCGGGGGAAGTGAACTCAGTCTACAACGTCCATATTCAATGTCTTTGTCGTTAACAATTTTGACAATTGTTGTGTGAGGCTTCGTTGTTCTTTCCATTTTGTGATAGAGATGAGTGCGTGTCATTTTGTACCGTAGCAGTACTTAGACTGAAAGATGTATGCTTGTGGTCCTTGCATTTCCTTTTCAATAATATACTTTTTGATATATAAAACTTTTATATTCATTTCATATTATTTTTTATTTATATAAGAATACAAAAGTTTTTCTGAAAAAAGTTATACGTTTGATATACAAACTTTTATATTTATTTGAACATTCTTTTTTTTTTTTTTTAAATATAAAATTTATTTTTTCATGACGCATTTTACTTTTATATATCAAATGAAAATAAAAGGGTGTTGACTATATTAATTTTTTTTAGAAACATTGTCTAACATACTCTCACAATGTTTGGCTTCATTGAGTTAGTGCCATCTACATATAGTTTAGACTAGATTTTTCATTTACTAATTTTGATCTTCCTCAAAAAGAAACAATATCTATTCTACTTTGCAAATTGGTTGGCCCATCTTTAACGAAAGTAAAATGAACGTGAGTGATTTATCTTTCGCAAAATGTACATGGATATTCTTCTATTGCTTCTTGATAAAATACTATCAAATACTCTAAATAAATTTAAAATGGTCCTAAAGTACCATGCAAATGATGAATGAACTAAGATACAAGGTTAAACTACGAGCTGAAGAACATGCATGATTCTATACAGGTTAAATATCATGGTTTAATATCCTAAAATGAGTTATAATGCATGGAAAAGAAATGAATGATGTTGTATAAAGATTACCAGTAATAAGATATGATGGTCACATAAGTCTCAAGGTAAAGTTTTGAGACAAAACACGTGACTGACAGCAAAAATTTTTATCAGTTCTGAGTAATTGAGAAATAAGAAAGAAGAAATTAAAAGAAAATGAAATAAAAGTTGATGAGAATTATTTAAGTTATATGATCAGTTTGATAGATTAAAAATATTTTAATTTATAAAATAAATATTATAATTTTATCTTACTTCATAAAAGTAAGTTAAATTAAATTATAATAATTAAATTATGTTATACATGACAATGTGAATATTATTTAAAATGAAAAATAAATATTATAAAAATATGTTAACTTAAAATTTGATTTATAAACTTAAGTTTGAAATAAAACACAAACCAGTGAAGCCACAGTGAGACACAGATCCTTGCATGGAGTCACACAAGGAATCATAGTAAGTGAACGGAATGCAGCCTACAAATCACAGACTACAAGTGCCTAAAATATGTAAGATGCAGAACTTAACCAATGATTATTAACCTATCGAAACTGTAAAGTGCCTAAAATGATGAAGAAATGGAGAAACAATAAGTGTTTGTGGAAATGCCTAAAAGAAAACCTTATACACAGTAAGTGTTTGATAAAATGCATAAGATGAACTAAAAATATGATTTATGCAAACTGTGAACTGATGGAACACGTCTGGATACCTAAAACTAATCATAATATGCATGAAATTGGAAAAGAAACCAAAATTCACAAAATCGACCTCTTAAAACCAATTTTTGCAGCACTTGACAGACAAAGTGTGACAGCAAATGCTCATGTATTCTCATATCATGTAAAACTGAACTATATGATACAAAGATGCTTGAAAACCTATTTGGAAAAATACAAATATGTATGAGATTTATGCACAAACATTAAACAACACGCAATTTACACAATCACAGTTTCAACCAGAATTGGCAGCAACACCAGGGTATATCAGCGCACCAACAATTTTCAATGTATCAGCTTATTTTGATAAGTAGTTCTAGGTACTTACACTACAATGTAATATCAGCGTGAAGCTGTCAAGTTTGATTCTAAACTGGAAAGTAGAATTTCACTTCTACTTCAATTGATTCTCAATCCTCTTGTTGAGGTTCATTTTTTAGTTCCTTAAATGTAGATTTCACTTTGGGTTCACTAGAACTCAACATGATTCCATAATTGAGTCTAGTAAGGTAGCAAAATCAAGAATCACTTGAAACAAATAATGAAAATCTAAAATTTGCTTTATAAAGAAGGAAAGCCTAGTACGAAGCATGAAATACAAGCAGAATTGAATATGAAATTGCATATAAAAGAAAGAAACACATGATTGCTTGGTAGAACATTTAAAGACTTGAATTAAAGAAACCTGAATTAGCATTCACACAGACTGAAAACTTGAATTATCACGCTCACCTTTGTAGTCAAGATAACATTGTTTCTTTAGATAAAACTAAATTGAAAGTTAAATCACAACCAAAATACCTAAAATTCATAGAAAATAAGACTGACTTTTAAAGACTAAAACTAAACTAAAAACAGAAAACTACAATCAGACATTAGCTGTATTCTACTTATCTAAAAGAAACTAAAATTCCTAAATCAAGAATTAATTCAAAAACTAATCTAACAGCACTTATTTAACACCAAATTAAAAAAACTACAGACATTTTACATCTAAACTAATAGGTTCTATAACAAGATTAAACACAAATACAACCAAAAAGGCAATTAGCTTGGAAAATTTATAACATACATCACTTCTCGGAGAAGTTTAATAACATTGAAAGCTGAAGAAGTAATCCAAATTCCTGTTTATTCATTCTTGTCTTCTTCTGTCACTTTTTTTTTATTGTGTCTTCTGCTAGGTCTTATATTTTCTAGTCATCATGTTTTTCTATTTAGAAGTGAACAATTTATCTTTTATAATTTTTTATAAATTACACTTTCACGTGTCAAATCAAAATAATGGGATTATCGTAAATTTTTTTATTAAAAGATAAATACTAAAATACATAGTCCAGTAGAAAGTCGAAAGCTAACATTAAGGCCTTGTCGAGATGATAAATTTTCGTTTTATTGATTAGAAGTGGATGAGTTAGAATCAGTAGATTTTATGGCTTAATTAATCCATCTCATGCTTAATAACACAAGTTTATCATCTCTAATGCAGACTATGATCTCTGTTAAAATGACATTTGTATGCAAAATATGATTAGTTCGCAAAGTATGTTAGCTCAAGCACGTTTGAAAAACACTTACAATTAAAACACAATGATGAAAGAGTTACAATATATGACAAAGAAAAAGTTCTGACGGACAAAACATAAGTTATCAAAAAGTAAAACAAAGGATAAAAGACATTTCAATTTAAATAAATTAAAAACTTTCTATTCACTTAGAATCTCTACAATACCTTTCATAATAATTTACGAGAGTGATTTAAGAGTGTGAAGAACAATTTTTTATGGTGATTGAGCAAGTGAATAACACTTCGAGTTAGTGTAGATTATTGTTGACTAAAGTTATCAAATCTACTCCCATATCAAAAATATCACACATCTCTCACCCACTAAAAGCTTAAGTAATAGTACGATTTAATGAATCACACCGCATCTTTACAACGAATATCCTTCAAGTATGCTAATACTCTAATTATAATATTTAATGAATCCTATTATGTTATTTTAAATCATGAAACAAGGCATAACTATTTTGGATAGGATTTTCCACATAGGTTGCACCAACAATAAAAAAAAGGTATATATGTTTATAATCTTTAAATTTAAATATTAAATTAAAATTTATTTATTACCGCTTTATTTTGTCTTAATTAGTATCAAATAAACGGTAGCCTTTTTGTATTTGTAGTGTAGTATATAACTACGGTGAAGAAGCACATGGTGGTGTGTTCATCAGCGACCCTTTGCGCCGTGAAGGGACAGTGCTGAATTGGTTGGTATACCTGATGCTCGAACCTTCAAATCATCCAATTGAACAAGTGGATGGAATATAAAACTCATCTCGTCACATACACATAGTTCCCTTTAAACCATAAATCCTCACTATACGAACTATGATCCCCGTCGACTGACGCCATCCAAATAGTCTTAACGCTTCTAACGTCTTCCTCACTCATGTGCTCTTCACGAATGCCCTAGGCAAGGTCCTCAGCGCAAGACGTTCACGCTCCCCGATCTCACCCGCCCTCCCCCTCCGTCTGAACAGGCTACTGCGGTCATTCGCCGCCGATGGCCCCGGCGAGTTATCCAGTCGTTGCGGAATCAGAGCTGGAGACGACGCTCTTGGCTGTCAGTCTCTCCCCTGGGAACTGTCCGCTTACGTTTACTACCGGGGTTCGACCTTTTCCTCTTTCCATTCTCCTCTTTTCCAAAAAAAAATGTAAACTATGTTTTATAGTTAATTACTGGAATTAGTGTGGAGAATTGGATACTAGCTGCACACAAGTTCAGTTCAGTTCGTTTTGTTTTGTTTTTGTGTTTTACCTGTTTACATGCTTCCAGTATACTTAATTGGAATAGAGCTTTATATATATTTATATCATGGATTATTGATTTATGGCTAATCTTCTCTGTCACGTTTTTTTTTTCTCTTGATTTAGGACCGATACCTGAAGGTGCTGATGCGGTTGTTCAGGTTGAGAATACGGAACTTGTGAACGATGCCTCAGATGGGACTAAGCGGGTCAGAATATTGGTACAACCACCAAAGGCAATGATATACGCCCTGTGTATGCTCTTGTCGCTTCTGTGCTGTAACTCTAATCGTAATGCTGAGTGTATGTTTGTATGGGGTGTCATTTTTAATGTCGCGAATTTGACGCGGTGTTTACTAATTTTTGAGTTCTGTATAATATCGAAGTTTATTAGCTGTTTTGTTCACTGCTTTTTGGTATTCATTGACAGGGAGTTGATATTGAGAAAGGTGCAATAGTGTTGACATCTGGAGAAAGGATTGGTGCTTCGGAAATTGGCTTGCTTGCTACGGTTGGTGTGACAATGGTTGAGGTATTCTTTTAGCGAGTTTCTGGATTCTGTAACCAAGCAAGCTTCTCACTGTATTGGCTAATACTTTCTGAACTTTGGTATGTTTTGTCTAATATTGAGTATTGATACATGTAATGATGGGAAATAATGCTTTAGTGCAGGTTTATCCTGCTCCAACCGTTGCTGTTCTTTCTACTGGAGATGAGCTTGTAGAGCCAACTACCGGGCATCTGAGTCGTGGTCAGGTATTGTTATTTTCTCCTAGGATCCTAGGACTATTGAGACTAGTTTATGAAAAATGTTTAGCAGACACTTTCAGTTATTAGAACTATCATATGGATGGAAGCTGGTGATTGTAACTTATAATAGACTAAAAATGCATGTCAGCTTCAGGTGTTTGTTATAGGATTATTAATGTGATAATATTTGGAATAGATTACTAAATTCTTATATAAATCAACCTATAGGTAATACCAATATTAATCAGGCTGCTTTCTTTGATTTTAGCATTAGTAGTGTGTTGAAGAATGAAGGTTCAACCAGACATTATAATGGACCTATAGTGCTCAATCTACTCTTTTGCAGAGAAAACATACTAATTGAATTCTTGTAAATGTGGTTGGATGTAAATTTGTTGCTTTGCTGCATAGATGGTGCTTAAGATTTGTTGGGCAACCCAACACTTTTTTACCCCATTATTCAACTAATTTGTAGACTATGTATTTGTGTTCGTGTCATAATTCGCAAGAGTTGCTTGGTAATGTAATTAAAACGGATGTAAGCTAATGTAGTTGCTTTGCAGATTAGGGACTCTAATCGTGCCATGCTCCTGGCAGCTGCAGTACAGCTTCAGTGCAAAGTTCTGGACCTTGGTATTGCTAAGGATGACAAAGAATGTCTAGAAAGGATCTGGGATAAAGCTTTTGCTTCTGGAATTAATATTCTTATAACTTCAGGAGGTGTTTCAATGGGAGACAAAGATTATATCAAGCCTTTGCTTGAAAAACGAGGAAAAGTACATTTTGACAAGGTTATGCCATTCTTCTGTTTTATTGTCTATTTATTAAAAAAGTTCTGATATCATGTAATTTGTGACATGGATGCTATGTGTTTATTGTAGTAGAAGAAGTAGTATTTTTCTGTATAGCGCATTGGTGAGTATAATGTTGTAAATCATGTTTTCTGAATTTAGATTTTTTTATCTTTCAGGTGTTTATTAAACCAGGCAAGCCATTTACATTTGCAGAGATTGACTTTCAATCATCAGAAAGTAAAATTCTAGCTTTTGGGCTACCTGGAAATCCTGTCAGTTCTGTAGTTTGCTTCCATCTCTTTGTGGTCCCTGCAATACGCCTCCTTGCAGGGTGGACAGATCCTCATCATTTGAGGTTACTTAATTTCAAAGTACAATTGTTTTTATGATGATTTGCTTTCTTTTTGAGTTGATTCATTTATTTATTTCTTATGCAGGGTACAAGCTCGACTTCAACAGCCCATAAAGACAGATTCATTTAGACCCGAGTATCATCGTGCTTCTGTTATATGGACTGACAATGATGGAACAGGCAATCCAGGGTAAGTCGATGATGAATTGTTTGTTTTGGTCTGGGTCTAGCTGAATCTACTGCATATCTGTAATCTACATGCAGATCCATTCTCTCTATTGTGTGTTTTTATAGTTTAATGTAGGGAGGTTGTTATCTCTTAATGAATAAAATTTTTATCGTGTCCGTGAATCTCAGTTTTGTTGCTGTGAGCACTGGTCATCAGGTAAGCAGTCGGCTAATAAGTATGAAGTCAGCTAATGCTTTGTTGGAGTTTCCAGCAACAGGAAGAGTAGTTTCTGCAGGGACAGCTGTTTCAGCTATCATAATTTCTGACCTAAGAAACATGGCTTTTGATGAGAATCATATGTCATCAGGTGCGGCATTTGCTTTGCCAGGAATTAAATCACAAAAAGTAACTACTGATTCTTCAGGGGATGCTGAAGTCAGAGTGGCTATTCTTACAGTTAGTGATACAGTTGCTATGGGGGGTGGCCCAGATAGAAGGTATTGATATTATCTTTTATAAGTGTATGCAAAGAAAAAGACATACATAGATCTGAAGATCAAAATTAAAACTTTTTTTTTGTTCTATCTGGATTTTTTTTTTGGAATCAGAAGAGCCCTTCATTGATTTTTCTGCATTTGATCAATTAGGAAGAATGCTCTCTAGACTAAAATAGTTTCTGTACTTTCTAGATAAAGCAGCTTCTAGATGCTTCAAACGAAATCTTGCACAAGCAGAAATGTGACACCACAACTTTTTATTTTTGAAACTGCTACAATACAATACTATATAAAAAAGGATAATGAGGTGCTGGCCATATTCATCATATATGTTCTTGATTGCCAAAGTCAACTAGTAATTTTTTGTTATGAATTGAGTGCGTCTAGTATACTCCTCCAAACCAAAGAATTTTTCTGTAGATGTGAAAATA